CCGGTGTTAGGTGTCCCGCCCCGGGGGTCAAGCAGCGCCGGACTGCCCCCCCCCCCCCTTCTAGCGTGTGGGCCACGCCGGCCACGGACTGGGCCGGTGCATTGTCCTTCGCCCGCCGGGCGCGGGGGGTGGGGTCGCCCATGCCGGCCGGAGGAGCGTTGGTCTGCCCTGCGCCGGGCGCAATATTTGGTCCGCGGCTGGGCGCGCGTCCCCGGGTGCACGGCCCTCTGCGGCGCCCCGGCCGGCGAAGGAACCCGGCCAACCCCCGGGGCGCGTTGTTCGCCGCCGGCACACGCAGCACCCCCATCCGTCCGCCTGCCCTGGAGGGGGGGGGGGGCGGGGGATGGGGGCCGGACGCCGGGCCGGGACTCATGGCTGGCCGGGCCCGATCAGCCGCAGCTCCCAACGGGCCTGGGCCTGTTCCTGGGCGACCGACCGGCTGCCGCGCCACTGACCCGCGGGGGAGGGGGGGGACAAGAGACAAGGGACGGTCCGGCCCGCCCCCCACTCCAGTTCCCTGGCACACGTGCGCGGCGGTCTCGGGCGTGGAGAAAATGGAAAGAAAAACGCCCGGCCGTCTGGAGGCGAGCCCAACACAAAAGCGCCCCCGTGTCCGTGCAGACGCATGCACCTTCGTGAGCATGCGTCTGGCGTCCTCCCCCCCCCTCCCGCAGATGGCAAAGGAGATGCGCGCACACACACACATGAAAAGGCGAGCGAAAGAGAGGTTTGCTGAATGTCCATTCAAGGGATAGTGTGAATAAAATGAGGGAAAGGTCGAAGGGGACGCCCTTCGGCCGGCGGCCACGCCAGGGGGAGGGGGCGAGGCGAGGAGATATCTAACAACGTGTGGAGAGCCGAGGTCGGCCGGCCGGGCGGCGGAGAGGGGAGACGCGGAGGGGGGGGGGGGGGGGGGGGCCGCGGGGGCGCGCGCGCTTGCAGGCAACGGCGGCGCCGCGGCCAACACCCGCGCACAGGCGCAGCCCATGCGCGCCCCTGGGGCCTTGCTCGGCCGGTCCCCCTCCTGCCCCCTCTCGGCACCCATCGGCCAGATGTGGTGGGAGGTGGCTCGGTCTCCGCCCGACCGGGCGAGCACGCGCACGCGCACACCCCGGGAGGAGCGAACACAAACGAAGAGGAGGAGCAGGAGCCGGAGCAGGAGCAGGAGCAGGAGGGGAGAGGCACACGGGAGACACGGGTGTGTATGTGTTTATATGTGTGTTTGTGTGTATGTGTGGGCGCACGCGCGCGCGCGCGCACACCGCGCACCGCGCACCGCGCTTCTCGCCGCCCGGTGCATTCATGCGCGCGCGCGCGCGCGCCAAGGAGAGCGGCAGTGGAGGCCGCACGGCCCCCCCCCCGCCTCCCGCGCCTCGGGGGCCCTCCTCTCTCCTTAGCGATCGATCTCACCGAACACCACATCAAGCGTACCCAGCAGGGTGACCACATCCGAGACGAGGTGGCCACGCGCCAGGCGGTCGATGATGGCCAGGTGGATGAGGCCAGGCGGGTGGATGCGGCAGCGGTACGGGCGGTTGGTGCCGTCGGACACCAGGTGCACACCGAACTCACCCTTCGGGGCCTCGATCACGGTGTACGTCTCGCCCTTGGGGACGGTGAAGCCCTCGGTGAAGAGCTTGAAGTGGTGGATGAGGGCCTCCATGGAGTGCTTCATCTCGGCGCGCGGCGGCGGCACGATCTTGTGGTCGTCCACCTTCACCGGGCCCGGGGGCATCTGGTTGATGCACTGGCTGATGATGCGGCAGGACTCGCGCATCTCCTTCACACGGACCATGTACCGGTCGTAGCAGTCACCGCGGGTGCCCACCGGGATCTCGAAGTCCACATACTCATAGGCATCGTAGGGCTGGGCCTTGCGCAGGTCCCACTTGTGGCCGGACGCACGGAACAGCGGGCCGGACAGGCCCCAGTTGATGGCCTCCTCGGAGGAAATCACACCGATGCCCTGCAGACGCATCTTCCAGATCCGGCTGCCGGTCAGCAGCTCCTCCACCTCGTCCACACGGGAGGGGAACTCCAGCGACCACTTGTGGATGTCATCCAGCAGACCCAGCGGCAGGTCCTGCGCCACACCGCCGGGGCGGAAGTAGGCCGCGTGCAGGCGCGCACCGCACACACGCTCGTAGAACTCCATGAGCTTCTCACGCTCCTCGAACATCCACAGCAGGGGAGTCAGGGCACCGACATCCATGGCGTGAGCGCACACGGCCATGATGTGGTTGGAGATACGAGTGATCTCTGCGCGTGCGTGGGGGGAAAGGGGGGGGGGGGCGGGGAACATCGAGTCAGGATGCGGGGGCAGCAGCAGCGGCGGCGGCGGTGGCGGCGGCGGCGGCGGCGACAGCGACGGGTGTGCGTACCGGCGAACATGGTACGGATGTACTTGGCGCGCAGGGGGGCCTCAATGCCCAGGAGGTGCTCGACGGCCAGGCAGTAAGCCTGCTCGTTGCACATCATGGAGCAGTAGTCCAGGCGGTCCATGTAGGGCAGGGCCTGCACGTAGTTCTTGTACTCGATCTGTTTTGATCCCCCCGCCCCCGGCCCGGGAGGAGGCGCGAGGAGGGAGCGGAGGAGGAGCACCGGAGAGCCGGATGTCAGGAGAGGACGCGCAGGGGAGAGGGAAGAAGGCGAGGGGCAAGAGGAGGAGAAGGAGGAGGGAGCGTGCGAATGCGAATGCGAATGCGGGTGCGGGTGCGCGCGCGCGGCCCATGACGACGCACCAGCTTCTCGGTACCGCGGTGCAGCAGACCGACGTGCGGGTCACAGTGGGAGACGTTCTCACCCTCCAGCTCGACAATCAGACGGAGCACACCGTGAGCAGCCGGGTGCTGGGGGCCGAAGTTCAGGGTGTAGTTGTCGATGAACGGGTCTTCGCATGCGGCACGCATGGGCGCAAGCGGGAGGGGCGCCGAGAGCGAGGGGGAGAAGGTCAGGACACGCGAGCAAGGGAGGGCAGGGGCGCCCCCCTACGCCCAAGGCACACACACACACACACATGCACCGAGCGATGGCGGGAGGGTGCACACAAGGAGCGGAGAGGGGAGGCATGCGCGTGTGCGTGGCCGTACCATGCTCGCCGAAGCTGTCGTGGAACACCGACGGCCGGGTGGCCTCAACGTAGGGGGTCACATTGCGCAGGGGGTTGCCGAAGCCGCCGATGTTGATGGTGCGGGTCTCGGGCAGGTCGCGCGAGGTGGCCGGGAAGGGGGGCTCCTCCTCACGCAGGTCCGGGTCGACCGGGGCCTGGCCAGTGCTGACCGAGGTGGCGTAAGCGGCGGCCACACGGGAGGTGTTGAACGAGGCGGCGGCGCGGGAGAAGGCGCTCTGCGTGGGCGCGCGAACACCGGAGGGGCGAGGGGGGAGGGGTCAGAGGATGCGCACACGTGCGCGGGGGGGGGGGGGGGGGGGGGCCGGCGGGCGGGAGTGACGCGGACACGAACCAGCTGGCCGGTGAAGGCGCGGCGAGTCAAAGAGGGCAGCATAGCGGCGATCGGGCGGGCCGGGAAGCAGGGGGCGGCGGCGCGGCTATACGGGGGCCTTCCTCAGAAAGGGGCGGGCGAGGAGGGGCGAGGGGAGGGGAAGCCGGCGCGGGACTTCGCGGGCGGCGTGGGCGGGGGGGGGGAGGGGGAGGAGAGGCGAGGAAGGGGCGAGCAAAGCGCAAGTGGGCGGGGAGGGGGGGGGGAAGGTGGATGCGAAGTTTCCTCTGTCCTTTCCCCGAGGCCCGAGCGAAGGTGGAGGCTGGTGGCGGAAATGACATAGAACAGCCGGGGCCGGCATGGCCGTTGTCAGCAGCCCGTGCCGGACGGGCGCGGGGCCTTCCTTCCCGGGCGCGGCGGCCTCCCCCCCCCCCCCTCGGAGGGCCGTGGGGCGCATATGGCTGTGCGTGCGTACGTGAGTATGGGCCGGGTGTTGGGGCAGGCGCGCGCGGGCGCGCACGCACACCTCACCCAGGCGAACCCTAGACCGTCAAGCAGATGCACCTGCAGGCAACATTAGTCCCCTAGCCCGGAGGGGTGCGAGCCGGCGCCTCAGGCGGACGACCCGGACGCCCGCTGCGCGCTTGGGACACACACCGCGGCCTCGAAACGTAAGGAGCCCCGCAACAAGCTCGTGCCTGGAGAGGAGATGCGCCGCAGCCGGGGTCAGGCTGACTGGCCAGTGTGGGCAAACAAGACCGCCGACTGGCCGCCAGGGGGCAACCCCCCCCCCTCCCCCCCGGCTCCGCATACATGCAGGCCAGCCTGCTCTTTCTCTCGGAGAGGCCGGGGCCTGCGCGTGCGCGCGCACGCAGCACAAGTCCCCCCCGCCACATACATACACACACACACACACACACACACACACACACACACACACACACACACATGCACGCCCCCAACACCGGCCACCGGGCGGCCTACTCCCTCCCCCCGCTGCCGGGGCACCAAAGAAAGCTCTGTTGACGCGGGGCGGAGAGGGGTCTCGGCGCCGGCCGGCCGGACCTAACAATCGTCATTCGGCCAGCTGCAGGAGGGTTCAGCGATAAATGGCGTTCCGTGTGCCAACTGACGCCACAGCGCATGTGATCTACCGGCGACGGCACGCCGGAATTGTGGCCGGCGGGGCGGGGGGGGGGGGCAAGCAGACTGCCAGCCCCGGACCGGACTCATGCGGCCGCATCGCCCAGAGCCGCGTGTGCGCCGCGGTGCATTCGCCAATAGAAGGGAGCATATGTGCATACGCATGTGCGCGTCTGTGTGTGTGTGTGTGTGTGTGTATTCTGTTCCGCGGGGAAAGACGGTCGCACGCGCACACGGGGGCCTCTCGATCGGCCGCACTTGTGCTCAGTAGTAGAGACTGGCCGCGAAGACGATGTCACGCTGGATGAGCTTGCAGGCAAGCTCGAACTTCTCCGACAGGTCGAAGTTGCCCATGACCCGGGCCGCGTTGCGCAAGTCGCGCAGGGCCTCGAACAGCTGGGTGATGCACCGGACGATGGTGCCCTCCTCGACGCTGGTGAGCTTGGTGATGTCGAGGAAGGACTGAAGGCACGGGCGCCGGGGCGAGCCGGTGGGTCAGTATCAGATGAGGTGCATGTGCGTGTGCGAGAGGGAGAGAGAGCGAGACAGAGAGAGAGAGAGAGAGGGGGGGGGGGAGGGAGGGAGCGAGACAAAGAGAGAGGCGAGGCATGCGCCTCCCAATGCAGGGGCGCCGAGAGAAGGAGCCGGACGCACCATGCCCTTGGCCCACTCGTAGACCGCGGTGCACAGGTCGAAGTTCAGGCAGTTCTTCACCTGCTCAACCGGGTCCAGCAAGCTGGTGATGTACTGCGACGTGTTGTTGACGAAGATGATCGAGTACTCCTCCTTGCCGGAGATCTCGGCCTCCATCTTGAACACCTCCAGCGAGATCTCCCTGACCTCGCGCATGGCCTGGAGCGGGAGAGAGAGAGAGAGAGTAGCACAGCAGGGACGCCGAGAGTGTCACCGGGTCAGTGGGGGGGGGGGAAAAGGACGGCAAGATACCCCGCCGTGGTTGCCGGGGAGGGGGGGGGGAAAGCAAACGCACCTCCACCAGATGCACCGGCAGGTCCTCCGTCGACACCAGGTCGCACTTGCCCTGGAAGACAAAGCCACTGACAATGGCCGCCAGCTCGGCCGATGACAGGTGCACCAGGGTGTTGTTCATCAGCAGCTCGGTCAGCACCAGCGTGGCTCCGTCATGCCGCGACAGCGACCGCAGCTCGCAATTGATGCGGCCCTTCATGGTCAGCACCCCGCGGTCGGGGCCCTGGATGAAGTCCACCCGCCGGAGGACCTCCACCCGGCGCCGGTAGTCGGCCATATTCACCAAGAAGGTCCGCGACTCGGCATCCAGCTCGGCATCCAGCTCCTGCAGACGGTCGCGGAGATAGGCCACCTCCATGCCGGTGTTGAGCTGTGCGAGTCCCGCCGCGGCCGAGACGGACGCACGGAATCAGCCGCACGGGAGGGGCGCCCCGGGGCGGGGAATAGAGAGAGAGGGGGGGGGGGGGGGAGGAACAGAAGGGGGTGAGTACCGGCGGGTCAGGGGCGAGACGAGAGGTGGCAGAAGGCGGGGGGACCACCGGCAGCTCGGGGGCAGCCCCCTCGGGCGGCGGCCGGTCCACGTACATGGTCATCCAACAGCGGGCAGGAGGACGCCTGGAAGACGGACTCATCCTCCTCGAGGGCGGCCTTGTCGCGCATGTAGTCCAGGTTCGACAGCAGCGAGGCCGGCTCAAAGGCCTCGAAGGTGCCCTGCTGGTGGAAGTGCGCGTCCGCCTGCAGCAGGAAGTCCTTGATGTTGTTCCGGTGCGTGACGTTGATCGGCATATGCGGGGACTTGGGCATGCCCTGAGGAAAGAAAGGGAGAAGGGGGGGGG